ACAACTTGGTCAACGTCTCGTATCTCACAGGGAATATCAACGAGTATTCTTGAGCACTTTTAAAGAAAAAAATGCGGTTCGTCCCTGCAGTCCTACCTGTTCCTGAGCCATCACGCATCCGAATTCGAAGAAGAATAAGAGGAAGTATCCGAGGTGATATCCATGCCAAATAGCGAGGTAGAGAAGTGTGACGAGATGTGCGCCAGGTTTGCTGTTAAGCCATCGAAGTCGACGGAAAATGTGACTAAAATTGAAATTCTCAAAGTTGAATCATTGCTGAGTGAGAATCATTGCTGAGTGAAAGGCCCTGATTACACAGGAAAGCCTCTAGGCTTATGGGAAAAGCAAAACTTATACCAAGAAAATGCCTTACAAAGTATCTCTGCCTAGGAGACATTTGCAGCCACCACATTCCCAATGCCCTCACCCACATATGAGCGCTTTTTTGGTCAAAGGCTGGGCATCAAAGGCACTGGACACAAGTTCGTCAGCATGGCCCCACTTTATCGGAAACCTTGGAATGATCCTGAATGGGGATTGCGCTGGTGCACCGAATCTTCGCCCTCCGTGCTTCGCCATCTGCTCTCACCCATCTCACCCACGCTTCCACTGTTTTTCCATCGCATGTTTTCCCATCATACATCGCTCAAAATCAACTGCAGTAAACATTGCCTGACACTAATTACTCTATTTTGTTCCACGCCTTGCAACCGGCCCAGAATACAACGGGTGTGGATTTAGCTAGGCATTTGTCCACGGGAATAATGAGATAACCATAAAACAATTATTACATCCGTATTGCTCGGATTCGTCAGGCAAACTGGTAAAACGTTTTTGCATCGAGCGGCTGCGACATTCGTGTACCGTTGGTCAGGACAGCCAAAATCTGGCAAAATTTTGCCCAATATTAGCTCTGGGGAGGAAATTCGCTGGCAAAGTCCATTGACATTCAACCAGAACTGCTGGAACGAAGAAGAGGTACGGGAAGTACATCTCTTCGGCCTATATTCCACAGCTACAGCAGCGCTGGGTTCAAAAGATAGGTGAATTAATAATCAATGCTTTAGCCCGAGGCACGCATTACGTTGCAGAGCTCCCCAAGCGAAGCAGGCAGGTTAAAGAAATGCTATCCATCTCAAGAATACGAGCTGGTCTAGCGGCTCCTTATGACCTATAAGCCAGCTTTCGCTAAGGGGAACAAGTTGCAAACTATCATTCATTGTTAGGCCCTACAAATAGCGCTTCGAAGAGTTTATATAATCCAAAACCCTTCAAAACTACGCAGGAAAAAATGAAAAAGCCGTTTCTTCAACTCACTTTTTGGCGAACGTGTTTGTACCAACATTGAACGACTGTATAGCTGAAGAAAAGTCATGGCCCATTTCCCAAAGCCATATGTGAACGTCTCGAACAGCATCCCACCTGTCAATAGACGACACTAAGGTCAACTGCACATCATTATTTGGATCGTATATAAATTGTCAATGGAATCTCGTTATACTCGAATATTGGGTGACAGCCAAATTATACACACTGTGGCGATGATGCAAGCACGTGCAGGACCACGGGGGAAATACTGCACTGCAAGCACGTCACGTGCAGGACCACGGGGGAAATACTGTGTCAAATCAACCAGCTAGAAAACACTAGCTAAACTGTATGCGTGCAACCGCAACGCGAATATTCCGAGCAGCACCCTTGAGTTATGAACCACTGCGGAACTTACCGATCATTTCCCATCTTTATCTTTGCCATTATACCCGAGACCATTGAGAATGGCAGCGCCTTCCTAAACATAAGAAAGATTAGTGGTTCTAGATAGATACACAAATACGATCTAATTTTATAGTGAATTTATGTGCGCACTATTACTGGGGCAATATAATCTCCTCGTCATGCGAGTGACAATGATAGACCCTCCCTTTTTACAATGACTGATGTTTTAGACTGGACAGGTAGTAAGCTGGAAACTTCCGAGTAGGGAGGCAGGAGAAGGTATATTTGGGGGAAAGTCTTTCCCAGCCACAGGATGCGCCCTGGTTTCAGGAGTGGCAGCAGCTCTCACACTCCTCTCCAAGAAACCAATCCTCCTCATTACTAGGACAGTGTAAGGGGAAAGTTCTGAGTTTCCACGGGAAAGGCGGAACAGCCGTTCTTCCCGAAAACCCGAATACGGTACCGCATGCAGTCTCCTTTTAGGGCTTATTTTGTAGCTTCTTGCGTGAACGCTGTGCTATGAGCGTTAGCCTCTATGATTGATGTTTTAGCCTGGGCAGGTAGTACGAGGGAAACTCCAACGCAGGAACGCGGGAAAAGGTCTATTCGGGGAAATGTTCCCCATCCCCAGGAGTGCCCTGGTTCTAGCGGCATACAGCTCTCACACTTCCTCTCCAATAAACCAATCTCCCTGCAAGCCACTAGGGCGAATGCAGGGAAAGTAAAGCAGTCTCTGGCGAAAGACGGACAGCCTCACTCTTACCGCATGCAATCTCTTTTTAAGGGCCTATTTTGTAGCTTCTTGCGTGAATGCTGTACTATGAGCGTTAACCTCTATTGTAACAACATTCCTAGGAATATTTTTGAGAAGCCGGACAACTACAAGTAAACACTTACAATTATGAGCCAAATGGCACAGTAGCGATACATGGTGAGCCTGAACCATATCATTGTCCACGTCCATCGCATGAAGAATGGCATATTCTTAAACAGATAAAAAGATTAAAAGCACAATCCTACCTACTGGGTAGGAACTTACGTCTACGATTAGGGCGGGCTTCCCTTGCATGGTGAACGCCTCCTCCTATTTCAACATAAACGGTGAATCGCGCGAAACTCATGCAGCTATTTCCATAAGGGAATCGCCTGACAGCCAACTAAGAAATGCGGCCTGGCTCACTTCAGGTAAGGTGTGGAAAATAGGACGAAATGACCTGCGCGGCATCCCTTATCGTGAGCTGAAGAAGAGGAAGTTCACTACATTAAAGAAATACACTATCCGGCAGACCTGCTTCGCTACAAAAAAAACGCTTCGTCAAGCGAAAAAATAGCGTGAAGGTCACATGTGGAAATACGAATCTCAAAATGGTAATCGAGACACTGATAAGATAAATGTCTACATTATCTCCAACAAGCACTACTTTGTTGAGGCGGTATTCTCCAAATATTGATTTTTTTTAATTTAGCAAAATTAAATTATTTTACATATGCCAACACTAATGCAATAGGAGAATTTTCTCGAAACTAAAGAAAACGAGAACGGTGTAAAGCAGATGCCATATACTCCAATGATAGTGGACACACGGCTAGAATCAAAACGTGCTCAACCATGGGTGCAAAATAAATCTTGGCTTCAGAGTTCGTATATTTTAGGCAACTTACAAAGAACTTTTCCGAGTTGAAGAAGGTGTCTGGTATCCACACGGCTCCCCACTGATTCAGAACCATGTACGTGCAACCAGCGATGAAACGACCCAGCGACGGCATCAGACTGTAAATGGAAGGTAATTCTGAATTATTGTGGGCTACACTCACTTAGCAGCTATGCTCCGTTACATAAGATCATTAAATTGAGGAAGAGCGGCTTGAGTGGGCCAGAAGAGGGTGAGAGTGTGAGAACAATAGCACTGAATCTTCGGTGTCGGCCCTCTATTATTGTATATATTGTATAAGCCATACAAGCGTGTAAGCGGGTAGGTGTATAGGCTGTTCACCACAGTACGGCTTGTTGCATCGCAGACAGGTGATCGACGCAGATTCAATTTTTTAGCTGCATGCGGATGACTGCCCTTACTAAGGGCGTGTGCATGTGAACGGCAAATGAGCCCGCAGCTGCAGCAGCGTGCCATTTTTCCGCAAAGGGACGGAGCTATCGCGTATTGGTACCCGGGTGTCGTATGGCTACCTGGTTGTCATCTCTGTATTCCGTGAAGGTACTTACGAAGAGGACTCACACCGGGGTCCCGTAGCGAAGCGCGCACTCGAGGACAAGAGAACTATGAGGGAGCAGATAGGTAGAGCGTATGGCTATATCGAGGCGTTCGGCTGGCCGTGCGGCAGCGCGACGGAGTATGGAAACAACTAGCGGGTATAAATACCCTCCAGCCACGTTCCCGTGCAATTTGGCAGGAGAATGTGGCCACTGCAGCTGCCACCCACTGACCTTCACACGGCAAGAACCAGGAGGAGGTGAGCGTACAGTACACACCGGAACCAGGGCTCGTGAAGGTGAACGTACAGCTAGTCTTCAAAGAGATGGAAGGAGGTGCGGTATCGGTGAAAGACCCGAGAGCTTAAATTTTGAAAACGCTCCAAGCACTTCTTACTGGAACCATGAGTGCTGCAAGCGGCAATGGGGTGAAATTGAAGCTCAAATGATTCCGCTTTTTTTTCATGCACCACGCATTCTGAATTGCAGGGGCAGTTTAAAAGCGATTCGGCAATGAAGCCTAAACTTAACCAAATGAAAGAAAGAAGTGGACCTTTGAAGTGAAACTCACGCTGACTGTCTTGGCTGACCGTTCTCATCCAACCAATCTCCATTCACATAAGCTCGGAATTTTGAGAGCGTAAACTGAGGGCCGGCAATAGTCCCAGTGTAGAAAAGACCAAAGGCAGCCGTTTCCAAAAGGCTTGGCGGTTTCATGATTGCGGTCTTTTTCTGGTCTGGTTTGAGTTTCTCCTGAAATTTGTCTGCATTCGAGCACGAAACACTGATCCCTCAACAAAGGGACTTGAATACATCTCAAAAACTTCCAATAAGCGTTTCAGCATGAGGAACTAGATGTGGGGAAACCACAAGAACAAAAATGAAGGTAAAAAGTGAAAAGTAAGGTATTCAGCTAAAAGTAACCAACAAAATGCGCTCCGTCGTAAACATCCATAACTAGCCCGGTAAACCGTAGCGTCATGATGCAGTACGGTGTCGTCCATGTAATGTCATAGGCTTCTGATTCCACGTACCAGTAGCCAACAAGTAAATAACCCTGGAAATAATTGGGAGTCATATGCACATACATATGTGAGATCTGCGAGGACAGTGCCACACAATAACCCTACATGGGGAGCACTATCGCACATATTCACAGGGACTGGGGCCGGAGAAAGGTCCTGGTCCCTACTCTCTTCTTCTTCCACGATGGCAACGACTACCTCGTGTTGTTTTCGCATTCATTCAAACCAATAATGATTAAACCAATATCTCAAAAATTCTTGCAGTCGCCAATCTACCCAACACTGGCATAGCCGCCCTCAAAAACGTTTGCTTCCTTCGTTGTAGACAACCTGTACACCCCTGAGAAGGGTGTTGCCTATTTGAGAAGAACAGTCCTTAGCTCTGCAGCTGTAACACCTTCGGCACTTGAGAGCGCGAGGAAGTGGTGTTTTAGGGCGATGATACCCGGGTGCCGTTTGGGGCTCCCATGCGCTATCCTTAAGGTCCGTCCCCATCCTTTGTTCTTCTCTACTCTCCAGTTTTCGATGTAGGGTCAAAATTTTGAATTTATGGGAATTACTCCCCAAAAGCAGTTTCGGTCAACTGAGCATGGATATCGCACCCGTTTGACACTAAACGCCTGTCGCCCTTATCACAGGCACCGGCGCCAAAATACCCCAAATCACCAAGCTTGCTGAAAACTTGCCCTCTGATCATGCCCTGGATTAGTTTGACCTTCTGAACACGAGTATTATTTGTTTATGTTCATGGGGTGCCAAGAGATTTAAGCATGGAGAAAAGGGAGATACACGTTACAGCGCAACCTGCTGCGCTTGTCTGCACCCTTCATCCGAGATACCGAACCCTTCCTCTGCTAATGCTGAGCCTCAGCAAGGGGATAGATCACTATCGTATGCAATCAGTAAGAAACCCACCTTGCCTCGCCATGTTAACTTTACTGCCCTATCACATCGCTTGTATGAAACTGCCTGGTGTGCAGGTTACACGCGCCAGGTCAAACCATGGATTGCCGTTACCTGAACGCGGGTGCCAGGCGGTCCCGTGCCAAAATGATGTGATAAATAGGCTCAAAGTAAAGGTGGCCTTTGGAGCCATAATTTCAGCAAATCTGGTGAGCTCTAGGGTATTTTTGCAACTGCGCCTGCGGTGCGAAACCATGCAGTTTCGGGCAAAGAGGATGTGATATTTGTTCTCAGGAGATCAAACTACTCCTGGAGGGGAGTTTTTAGCCATATCTGCTCTTGGAGAACAAGTCGATGAGGAACTGGTCTGATTTCGAAAGATTAGGACAGTGCAGGGTAAGTGGTGCCAATCAGAATTATCAGATCAGATGACGATTAGCGAGATAACACTTACCAGAAAACAAACATGGGCAGCAATAACTGATTCCGCCGTTCCGCCCATAAAATTTGTGATCGCATACGCCATAAGTATTGCAACAAAGCAGTGGATGCAGTCATAACCTAGAAAAAGCTCAGAACGTGCTGGAAGTCCCACCATCAATAATTTTCTGTCAAACCTTACCACTATTGAATACATAGAGAAGGACTCCGACTACGACGAAGAACGTGTACTGAACATTTGCAGACTTATTGTAGAAAAATGTCCTATGTATTACCGCCAAAGGATATCCTGAAAAAAGAAAAACCATTTAGAGTGTAATGAATGGATAAGGAGAAAAAATTGTTTTAGCAATCAGAACTGCAACTGCATCGAATTTTCCCATTCAGAATCCCTTTTTGAATAGTGCTTGAAGACATCATTCAGTTCCTTTTGGATTACGCCACGCATTCAACTACCACAAACGCACGCCATCGTGCTCCAAACAAGGAATGTCATTTCTGAAGATCGTTTGAAGAGGATCCAATTCGTACACTGGGGATGATCCCGCTCTAATTTCAAGAAAGACCGCATGTCACGAGGATGAGCTCAGGGTGAGCAACGATTAATCCAGCGTCTTCTTTGCCTTCATCCGGCGCTCGAAAAGCCGACAAACATTTGAGAGTAGCCTGTTCAACAGCCCAGACAATCCCGACCACAGTATCGCTGGACTGCTAAACCACTACGACTGAGATATGATTCATGAAGCGCATCCACAGAACATCCATTCATGCCGATCAGTTCAACTTCAAATATGAATGTGTTAAAGTACATTTGGGAATTTGGCTCCAAGACCAAAGAACGCACTTCATATAAGAAAACGAGAATTCCGAGTCAGCTGCTTTCGAACTCGATGGTGTATGCTTTGCGTAAGGATGCATATAGAATATTCATTATTTCTTGTTAATATTCTGTACGTCCATCTGGCGACCACTCGAACCACTCAAAACAGCTTTACTACAAAGGAATGGTTAACAAAGTCACGTAGAGTGATGTGGGTGGGCTTCTGCAAGGGCGTCTCTGACGAAGTTATTAACCTCGACCGAACTGTTTAGGAATCAGGATTTCGTGTTCCTTAGTTTCTTCTGCTTGCGAGAGGGGGAAATTAGGAGGGATGACAGCAAATTTGTCGATGGACTTTCCTGCTGAATCTGGAACCTTAAGTGACCGCGATATCAAGACCTACTTACAGTATGCCCTATGACCTGTAGGTTCATTACTGACATTACGGGCACGTGGATGCGAATTAGAAAGGGACTGAATGCAGGTCAAACCTTTCTGCACGGCGCGGAATAAAGATGAAACTGGCATTATAGAGTTTTCCCAGAATCCTAACTGACGCGAAACGAAGTGTGTAGCAATCGAGGCAAAGTGATACATCAGGGCAAGATAGCACACGGTGGAATAAAGGGCGGGGTAGATATTTCCCGCCTGGATTCTTCGCTTAGATGGAGGGAAGGCGCGTATTATCTGACAGCTGTTTTTTTTTTCATTCACGCGAGCTATCTCACGGGTCAAAGACTTCTGTCACGAGTAGGGGAGGGTAAGGTGTATTTCTAGCAAAAATTCTTCACGCATTTCGAAAGGAGGTGCCCTAGTAACAGATGCCTCTTTCAAGTGGGTCATATGCCACGAACCATTTTTGTTTTCTAGCTTCTACCCTCTGTGGCAAAACGGATATTAGGTGAGCGGCCAGACCCTCCGATCGATTCGTCGTTCTCAAAAGCTTAGTCCAAAAGAGTGAGAGAGAGTTGCTCTCTGAACTTTTAGCGAATGTCCTCTTTGAACGTCACATAACTGAACTCCTAACGAACTAACATCTAAGCGTGAAGATTCTATCAAATATAGGTTGATTTGAATTTTTTATTGCGCCTCCCTCACTAGGTGACGTCCACAATTTTACTCGTTCCGATAGCTGAGGAACGTCTCTCTTCTCCGTCCCAGTCCGCTAGGCCGGCGTTAGGCTTGCATTGAGAAGGAATTTTTTCTAGTCACGACGACGATTCCTATATTGCCATAATGAATCAGGGAATCGCACACAGATTTCTCCCGACGTCTAATCAATAGCTTTTCACAGCGACTGCTTGAATCATAAAACTAGATGCACAGCTATGTACAGCGTGAGAATATTCCGCATTCTCGGGAATAAATATCTGAAAGAACTTTGCTCACTGGGAAGCGTTACAGCGTCATGTATTCGTGAAAAAAAGAAAAGAGAAGGTAATAGAGAAATGCGAGCCGATGATGCGAGAGTAAGCGTTGCCGAACAAGATAAGGTACTTGTTATGGCGCCTTCCCAACGGCCACGAAAAATTCTCTACCAGTTTGGAAACTCAGTGGAGGGATTCCTCGTGGATCAGACTTACTCAGTTTGTCACATAAGGAGAGGAATTAAGCACTCGATATCCATACCTTACTGAGTCATAAGTCCTGCTCCACTTCGGAATCGTAAACGTCGTGTGATCTGCCAAGCAGCCTCCTTGCAATTGATGGTTTAATCAAGTCATTTAGAGGAGGTAGTTTTCAATCCCTCTACTATATTGCAATCCCGCTTGCCGTTTTCTGTCCCTGATATCCCACCTTTGTCGCATATTCACCTGCCAGGAACCTATTAGTCTCCGGAAAGCTTTGAGAAACTTTGATCCTTTCGTTTCAAGGAAAAGTAGAGGGCGAACGAGCCAAAAAAGCAAAAAAAGCTTAAATGAACTTGCAGCAAAAAGGAACTCTTAGCACCTACTTCGAGCTTGAAAGGTATTACTTCTCGCTGTTGGTATTAGTTAACACGGAAGAGAAATGTGGGAGCAATAGAATCCTGGAAAGCTTTCAAGTTACCTGCACCGATAGTGCTGCTCTATCATTAGAACCAGAACTAGGCCACTTGGTCAACAAGAGTCAGACATGTAGCTTACCTGTTTATCTGCAATATAAATGCTGCGATTCCTTTTCAATGTGTAGGAAAGGGGGGCGGGGTGGGGTAGTGTCCAGGGTACAGCGTCGAGATGCGTGAAATGGTGGTGCCAGTACGACCTCCGCCCCCTCCCGTCTCGAGGGAGGGTCTCGGTACGACTCCCCACCACTTCCCCAGCACCTACCTGCCAACTTCCCACATTTTCCAGTTTTTCACTCACAGATTCTTCGTCGAAGGAGTGGGGAGGGGGAGGGGTTAAATAGCCATGTGAAACGGGAAAATTTCCTAGATTTTCCCCAACTTCCTACCACTTTTCCCAGAAATTCCCAAAAAATTTCCCTACTTTTCCCGAAAATTTTGCTTTCGAGGGGGGGAGGGGGATAAATAGTACATATGAAACAGGAAAAATCACTTTCACAGCGACTGCTTGAATCATAAAACCGGATGCACAGCTCTGTACAGCGTGAGAAATTAGGGGTGTTCTCGGGAATAATATCTAAAAGAGCTTTGCTCACGTGGAAGCGTTCAGTCGCACAGCAGCTAATCCGGGAAAATGTCTTGCGGCAACGCGGCAAAGTTCTCTCAAACCGAATAACGACCTTCCGCTCTCTCAAACGATAGATACGACTCCCTCTCAGCCGAAAGACGTTCTCGCTCATTACATATTTATCGTCAAACACGCTGCTTGTACCTGTTTAATGTCACTGACCATCTTGTCGCAAAGGTTTCGGCTCTTCCAATGCCGATGCAACTCTAACTTCCATAGAAGTATTGAAATTCCACCCAAAGGAGATATGGAATGGACAGAATTCAACATACTATTGAATCTCTTCTCTCACTGCCGCTACGTGTTAAATGAGCAGTGAGAATCCTCCAAATTCCCAGCCTTTTCAGGAGCTCATCCTTTCTCATGTGATTGACAACGCTTCAAGCTGTCCGTTAAGCTTGATAAGCCATGTTTGATTTGAGTAACCTGACAGCTAAGACTACACTAGTCAAGAACATATTGACGCCAGAAAAGACCACACATGACAAAAATTAGCGGAGGAACCAGGAGAGCAGTGATGGGTGGCTAAGCAACGACGATTGTGACGAAGGAGGTGCGCTAGGACCACCGGCGCTCGTTACCAACCCATTCTTTTTCCGAGGTTAAAACTGAATTCTGGCGCTGTTTGGCTTGGAGAGGACATGCTGCCTTTCAGATAGTTCCCCTGTTAATTTATTTTGAATAAAAGGTCTACGGTCAATTAGAAGCGAAGAAAAACAAAATATTGGAAAAAGAATACACTCCAAAGCACCGATGATACGTTTCATCAGTGCTTTTTTCCAAAACCCGTAAACTCTTGTGAAGGCAAAATTGTCCGGATGAGCCACAGTGGTCACAGGGATCTACAGGTCCTCACAAGGCGGCTTGTACCAGCTTGCCCATTAGTTAGCGTAGTACCATTCGGTACCCCCTCCGAGAGGAAGTGCACTGCAATCTTCACTCGATAAGGGAACCGCTGTTTCAGCGACGCTTGGGGGGGGGGGGGATATACATCCTGGCCTTCTTCTAGGGCCATGAACATATCCGTACCTTTTCACATATACTTTGTGCAGGTGACAAGTGGGCGCTAACTTTGAAGCCATGTCACAGGTCTATCGAAAAAGCAAAGCTTTGAGTCGACTGAGCTCTCGATCGGATGACCTAGTCTGAGGGCGATTCCATACAACACCCCTTCAGGAAACCTTGGAATATTTTGAAAGCAGACATGAGATAAGCGCTAGAAAGGGCGTCTGCTGGTCTAGATTTCATTAAATTAAAAAAGTCGAAGAACGTAAATCTTCCTGAACCGTTATAGATGTATTTTTGATCCTCAAGAGTCGTATAGCCGAAAAATGGCCATGACCTTTTCGTAAAAGAATCTTCTCCGTACTGGCCCCGATACAGCGAGAAAACCCCCACAAAATATGAGCACGAATAACACGAGGAAACGGTGCTTTACGTTTACCACATGTTACTCCAACTGAATAACACATTCAATGACCTGAGTCATCGCCATTAACACCAAGGAACGTTCCCTC